CCTGGATGTGGCCATAAAAAAGCTACGGCTGCACTCCCACAATGCCTAAGCCCCCGAAACTCCTTCACTTTCACTTTCAGTCCCTTCAGATAAATCACCATTAAAAAAAGAAACGCGTTTCGCAGTGGACAATCCGCTTGCGAAGGGACATAAAATAAAATTAACTTAAAAAGCAAATTCTCACACACATATTTTATGTGGCAATGTCCAATTCGGCTTTGTTGGCTCATAACTCAATGCGCTAATCCTTTAAATAGGACATTCATGTTATCCTGCCTAGACGTTGCGACCATTAAAATTGAATTTATATCTAAAAAAGCAACGCAAAGAGTCAACTGTCTCTCATATTGATATTTATGACATTTGCCATGTATTATAATTCTTATTGGATTGTTATTTATGTTTATACGTGTATGTGATTGTTGTTGTCATGTTGAATTAGCCAAACGATCTCAAAAGGGAAAATATTTTCCGTTATATAAGGAAGAAAATCTAAGCATATTTTACAAAATTTGTTTTTATTATATTTATTTTTATAGATTTTTCCCATTAAAATTAAAATTATTTAAGTCACATATTGTACCAAAGAATTAATAAGTTTTATAATTAATTACAGTAATAAATTGGTTTTTATTTTTGTATTATGCACATGGACACATTTCTTAGAGTTTGCGTTCCTTTTTTGCCAACAATCACACAAATATAATTTATTTATTTGTGTTTTTTTAACAAAAATTCGTTCCCTTCAAACAATTTGTTCCTCACAGTACCAATTCAATTTACAGTTCATTACTTTTCATAATTTCTGCCTTGTACTGACCCAAGGACTTGGTAAGGACTTCCCTCCCCCACTCCTCGCCACCCCTCAAGGCAGCTGTTCAAAAATCCCACGCAGCAAAAATATTCTGAGGGTGGATTGGAAAGTTTTTGGGCCAGCCCAAATCTAATTGGACGCATTCGTATCGCTTTTACGTTTGACATTTTGCCCTCTAAAAAAATATTCTATTTAAATTGTTGAAATCCGCTTACGTTCCTCAAAGGACTTTGGCCATTTTGTGTGTTGTTCAACACGTTTTGTATTCGGTCTCGAATTTCCTCTCGCATTTGAAAATCAAATTGATCGGTTTAAGTTCTATGCTAAGCTACTTAAATGTCCTTAAGTTTCTATAAATGTGAGATGAGATTCGTTAGCGTACTTCAAGATTGTTTCTTCTTTTATCAGAATTTATGTGTATCCTGTACACTATTTCCCCGCCCAAGAGGCCAAAAAATCGATAATATGCAAATATTTTTTGCATCCCCCACACACACGAGCGTAAAACAAACATAAACGCGGCGAGTCCTAAGTCCTCTAGTCTCCCTCCTCCTCCTCCTTCCCCCTTATACCACCCAAACACACACACACAAACTAAATAACTAAATACGCATTAGCATCCTGTCGGATTTTCCTTTATTATTGCTGCGGCCGTCGTCGAAACGAAAAGAAACGAGATGCGTGGGAGGCGAGCAGGCGTCGCACGTTGCACGCGCTCCTCCTGCGGCACAGTGGGACAAAATCACTTACTTTCTGGATTATTTTCATTTCAAATTTTATAATCGAAAGATCTCAAAAATGTCCTTAGACAAGAGTAGTGTACTAAATAAAAAATACTAAGCAAATTCCACAAAATCTCAGAAAATCGTAGGACTTTTAAATGTCTAAACTGCAGATTTTGTATTACATTTTAGACCATTCTTCCAAAACTTGATATTTACAACTCTAAATAATATACCTATACTTCAAAATAAATTAAACATATCTTTAAAACGAAATGTCATTTTTTTTATCCGAGAAAACTTTTAAATAAATGTTATTTAAAAAAAATTGTTTTGTTTGAATTATATATCTCAACAAACCGTCGCTAAAAAAAAATCAGATTAGCCTATCTTGTTCGGTATTTCTCGACACTATTCCACTGTTCGGTGCCCAAAAAAAAAAATGCCAACGGTCCGAATGGCAACAAATTCAAACGAACGTGTATGCAGAGTGTGACTGAAAGCATTATTAATAGAGAATGTCGGCGGCTAAACTCAACCACACACCCACTGGAAGCACTCACATACACGCAAAAGGGATATAAAAGCAATAAGGACATTCATCTTCATAATTACGGGCAACGAAATGAGGAGAAAGTCCGTGAGCAGAAAGATGTGGAATGCGTAAGTGAGGAAATTCAAATGAAACGGCAAAGTTTTGCATATGCGTTGGGGGGATGTGTGTGTTTGTGGAGGAAGTTGGAGATTTTCTCTCTCTCTTCTTTAGCTCCAACTACACTAAAAGAAAAGTCTCATACTCACCAACATCGAAAGTAAATTATTCCCATGCAAAGGAGACATTTTTTTAAATATTTTAAGAAAAGTGGTAAACCAATTTTAATTTTAAAAATTAAAAAAATAGTTAATTAAGATCCTTAAATAAAAATATTACTAAAAGTATTTGCACAAATTTTTCTCATGAAAAATTATATAAATAAAATAAAAGGCTAACCCAAGATACATATCTCTAATTTAAAGTTCGCTTTCTCTGCAACATTAATCATATTTTGAACAGTGATAAAAAAATCGTAGAAAATCGAATTATTTGATTTGAATAAGAAATTCAGATACATATATTAATTTTTTATATTTCACTTTTTTTATCAGTTTTTCTTTTTCTCTCAGTGTGTGCTTGACCAAATGGGCGTCTTATGGAAATGACAGTTAAGTCCGCCGACATTGGTCACCCTAATGAATGCTCGAGCAGGCATTTTCCCCCCGTTCGGAATGCAATCAAATGGAAATTGTTAAAGAAAAGCGAAAATGCCCGAAAGGCTGAGAGGACGAAGGGGAGTGGGAGTGGGTGGAGAGTACGCCTGACTGGATCCCAGGACTTTCGCATTTAACGAGGGCGCAATGCATCGGTCTGCACTAATTACGCACAAAACATGTCCGGCAAAACCTTTGAATGTCGGGGGAAAAAAAGGGGAGTTTTTGGGGGAGACATTAAGACCTCAGGCGTCTGTTTGCCCAGTGTTTTTTCCTGCCTGCCTGCTGCAATTTAAATGAGACCTTGTCCAAAAGCGAGGGTGTCGCCTGCAGTCGGTGGGTGAAAGTGGGCGGGCTGGTTGAGGAATTAATTCTAATCCCGGACACGTTCCATCGCAGACGAAGTGGTCAGTTGGGTGGTACATATACATATAGAACTCCTGGCCTGAGCTTCAACTGGTGGAGGGTGCGTCGATCATTAGCGTGATTTCTTTCCGCTTTGACATCCATGAGCCGCAAGAAAATTGGCAAGGAAATCAGAACGCCTCAATGAACAGTAAAATACGCATTGAAGGTAAGGTTATGGAACCGAAAATATATTATAAAAATATCTAATTTAAGCATACAATTTTAGTTATTAATTCTTTCCAGTGGCGCCGCCAAAGTTTTTGTTAAAGCGGTTTTCATAACAATTTTTTTGTAGCAAACATGTTAAAATCATCTTTTGCATTGAATTTCATCAGACTGCCGCTGTACAGTTCAAGCTGGTATGCAAATTTTTATTTTTCCTGGACGAACTGGACCGACAAACATCGTGCTACGATCGTGGATCCTTGTAAAAATGTGAATCAGTTTCTTGCAAAGAATATTCTTTTTAAATTGATTAATTAAAATTATGTAAAAGAAATGTTATTAACAAACATTTAAAACTTATGGATACATACATAATGAAACTATTTTTGTTTGTTTTACGGATATAGTGCTCACAATGGGCAAAGCAATTAGAGTTTTTTTTTTTAAATTTAACTTAAATGGCGCCGATAATATATTTATCGGATTCGATAGTAATAATTCCGAGTTTTGACCCTTTTAGCAAAGTTTTCCTCCATCTATTTTTACTTTTTACACTCGTGTAGAAAAGCCTTTTAACATTTTTGTGGAGGACGTTTTTTAACAGTTTTTTAACAGTGTAAAACGTTTTCCACAAAAATGTTACCCTGCGGCGTCACTGCTAAGTTAACAGCTGTTAAAAACTAAAATTTTTAACATTAGATAGGTTTCAGCAACATGTTCTGCAACTAAAAGGTAATTTTTTTAATTTTACTAAAAAAAATAAAAACAAATCGGAAAAAATACATCTTAAAAATTGCTCATAAATTTTAAATTCTCTTTTTTTTTGATTTTAATAATAAATTTTTAGTTTTTTTATTTTTATTCGAAAAAATACAAATAAACTAGAAATCAAAACTGAATGAAAAATCCTTAAAAATATAACATTTTCTGGTTCATTTTGTTATTAATGAAATGTTTTTTATAAAGCAATGATCCCGGAAAATTGCATTAAAAAATTATCGACAGTTTTCGAGAAAAACACCTAAAGTGTCTGAATTTTAAAGGTATATTAGAATACCGCCAAATACAGTACAAGAACCATGGCCAGCTATGACATGAACCGCAGTATCCGACACTACAACTGATTTACAAATGTGCAAAGCGTACTCCATGCTGGACGGTGCCCTAAAAAATGGTTATTTAATGAACTATTTATAGTTTAATCAATTATTTTAGTTAGCTTTCGAGATATTCGACCAAATTTACCACCATGTTTCTATTTCTTTACGTAGTGTAGACACTAACCATACTAATAAATCGATAGGGATGCTATATTCTAAAATTGGACGCTAAAAAGCACTACCTATTTTAAATTAATATATTCTTTGTAATATCTCGCCCACTAACTTTAGTTACTAGCTGATCATTATGGTGTATATTTCATCAAAATCGGTTCCGCCGCTTCCGAGATATTATCTCTTTCACCCTTATTTGCCGAAAATCGCAGTTATGGAATAGGAAATACAAATATTTTTAAGTTATTAACTTCTAAAAGCAACTAAAAAATGGAAACCATTTAATGCATTTCGAATCCACTGCACTTCCATAAAATGGGTATTTTTACACTCACCGTTTGGTCCTACCAATTGCATCCGCGGTATTTCCGCGCTTCCCTTGGTCTGGTCCTCGGTCACGTACGAAAATGTTTGGATAGCGAAATACAAAAATTCAAAACTCGCAAATCGGAAAATGAGTGGCCAGAAGCACCTGCGATTGCGCTACTACACCTCCTTCGAGGAGGCGATGGTGGTGAAGCTGTGGCGCGAGCACCTGCCCGACATTCCCTCCTACACGGACAACCTGCCCATTTTCCGGGAAATCGCCCACGGACTGCAGCAGCATGGCATTCGGCTGAACAAGCAGGAAGTTCGCAGGCGCATGAACAGCTACCGCAATAGATATTTGTAAGTTCGTAATGCTAATTTGTAGTACAATCCTTAATATACAGTCTCTATTACTTTCACAGATCCGAGCGAGCTCGCTTGGATAGCAACCCGAATTTGCAGTCGGACTGGCGCCTTTTCCCGCTGATAGACGCCCTCTTTCGTCCTGCCAGACCGGCGAAGGACCTCTTCCACGCCCACAATGTCCTGGACGAGGCCGCCGTGAGGGCTCGCTCTGATCTGCCCGCCCTGCCGCCTCTGCTCCTTGCGTCCTCCACTCAGGTGAAGTTCGAAAGGGACCCCGATGGATGCGCCTTTCTGGACGCGCAGCCTCTGTTTCGTCCAGTGGTGAAGATGGAGCCTCAGCAGGAGCCTTTCCACCACCAGGTGAAGACTGAATACAAGCCCAACGAGGCGCAACTTGCGGAAACTCCGACTGAAAGTGCCATTAGGCGGGCACCACTGACGCCCGCCAACCATCAGCTGCAGGAGGCCCTCGATGAACCTCCTCATGTGGCTCCTACCAATGGCCAGCCGGAGGCCGAAAGATCTGGAGGAGGAAAGCGGAGACGTGGACGCCGCAGCATCCTGCCGCGCACAGGCCAAATAACAATGGCCCTGGTCGAAGGACTCCGCAAGGAGAACAAGATGCTCGAGCAGCAGAACGACGCCTATTTGCTGGCGCTCGAACAGAAGGAGAAACAGTTCCTGGCGATGAAGCGCAACTTCTTGGGCTACCTGGAGCGGCAGAAGACCCTGCTGGCCCACATTCAGCACAGGGGCATCAAGCAGGAACTGGATCGCGACTACTAAGTTAGCTTTAAGTGGGGAATCTCGACGCTTGATCCCGTGCATTTCATTTCGTTCCTTCCTCAGACACTGAAGTCTAGTTCACGCGACGTACAAAGCAGCATAGCGAACCGAAGATATTTTTATTTTTTTTTACCCTTTTCTAAAAAATAGCGTCCAAATGAATTGGCTTAACAAGAAAGTGTTATATGATCTTTGTGAAAAATCTCTGTAAGATCTTAGAGTTAATTTGTATTAAAAATCTGAAAAAAAGAAAATAATCGAGTTTTGCGCTTTTGGTGATTCTTTTCCGATTGGACCTTTTTGGTGTTTTACAAAATTGTAGAGGTCTTAGTACGCTATTAATTATACCCGTTTCTCATAGAGTAAAAGAGTATATTGTATTCGTGCATAACTATGTAAAAGGGAGAAGGAAGCGTTTCGGACCCAATAAAGTACCTATATATATTAGGGTGGATAAAAATCATCTGATTTATCGTATAAGGGAGCGTAATTTTTAAAGGATTCCAAGCAATATTGGTGAAAATAACGTTTTACCAAAGGGCAAAACCGCAATTTATGAAAGCCTTTTCCCACTATGCAGTATTAGTGGAATTTTTGTGATTTTTCGATGGGGCGCAGCTTAATTTGTAAGTATATTTCAAGAATCTACTGCTTTTAAATAGATTTAACAGCTTTTTGTTTTTTGCTTACCGTGAGAATTATTTGCATTTTATTTCCAAGGTCCAAACACTCTAAGGAGCGAAAGAGTTTCAAAATTCCTATTGGATCTTATAAAAACAACAGAAATATTTAAACAAAAAAAAAATTGTTAACTTTAAATTTGTGGACTAGTGTCTAAAAACAGAAATCTTCCATCAATCATCGATATACACCCAACATCGATAGAACCAGTAAATTTTAAAAACAGAGAACTCAACATAATTCCATTCGAATACACTAGTTTACAAAATAATATTCTTGGTGTGCTCCCCAGCAATTGATGGCAAATTCTGTTAGTGTTGGACCCCTAGATCACAAAAATAGCACTTATTTTTTTTTCGATGGCACAGTTTTTTTTTAAAGATTTTTTAAAGTTTGAAATGTTAAATTTCTGACTTTTTTCGAATTTCTTCTTATATCTCGGCAGATATCCACTCGATTGGGCCAGTTTTAGTTTTATTTTAAAGTCAATAGATCAGAGCTTAACTTTGCCATACAGATTGATATGATTGGATGAGTAGTGGCAGCGCAGAAGCTCGACAAAGATGAAAAATGTGTTTTTTGGTCGTCTGTAAGTCGGCTGTATATATCTTAAAAACTCGAAATAAATCCGTTGACATGTAAACAAAAATAATTGGTGTTGGCAGCCGGGTCACTAAATAGCTAAATCAGATATTTAAAAGCTAGAAAATTATTAAAGGGAATTTAATTTTTGAAATTAAGGTTACTTTTTTCATAAGAATGAACTATCCAAATGGATAGTACTTAATTAAAAATAGTCACAGTCATAACGCAAGCAATTTTATATTTTTAAAAGAATTTTCAGAAATTAAATTTATTTTATAATTTTCTAGCTTTAAAATTTAGCTATTTTTTGACCCGGCTGCCGTCACCACTCATTTTTATACCCTTGCAGAGGGTATTATAATTTTGGTCAGAAGTTTGTAACGCAGTGAAGGAGACGTTTCCGACCCCATAAAGTATATATATTCTTGATCAGGATCAATAGGGGAGTCGATATAGCCATGTCCGTCTGTCCGTCTGTCCGTCTGTATGTATGTTTCAATACCGTTTGCGAGCTCAGTTTAAAAGCTAGCGCCTTGAAACTTTCACAGTCGTCCTAAAACATGTGTACGCAGATCAAGTTTGAAAGCCGACCCGATCGGACGTCTATATCCTATAGCTCCCATAGGAACAATCGGATATAGCTTTCACAAAAATGAAGATATTTCGCTCAGTGTAAGAGCTATTGGCATGAATCTTTCCAAATCGTATTTTTTTGTGCGTACCTTGATCAGGGTAAAAGCGCGTGCCGATCGGACGTCTATATCTTATAGCTCCCATAGGAACAATAGGGTGAAATCGGTCAAAATTTGACGTTTTTCAGGATATTTCGCGCAAAATATTAGCTATTCCCATGAAACTTTCCAAATCGTATTTTTTTGTGCGTACCTTCATTAGGGTAAACGCGCGTGCCGATCGGGCGTCTATATCCTATAGCTCCCATAGGAACAATAGGGTGAAAAATTTTAAAATTTTATTTTTTCAATTATAAAATATTTTGTTGTTTATTAATGCATGTTGCTAGTCTAGTCAAGTTTTAATTCGTAAAATCTGCAAGGGTATTAAAACTTCGGCTTGCCGAAGTTAGCTTCCGTCCTCGTTGTTTACATGTCGCCGCCTATGATAAATCTTAAATTTGGGCTCTGTCAACCGAAAAAAGTGGAAAAATCCGAACTTTAAAAATCCACCATAAATCCAGTTTTCCATGGATTTGGGCCATATCCGGCTTGATTTATTCGGTAGGATGTAAACTTTAAGTTTGTACCCATTTTGATTTTTCAACGGATTTATTTCGAGTTTTTAAGATATATACAGCCGACTTACAGACGACCAAAAAACACATTTTTCATCTTTGTCGAGCTTCTGCGCTGACACTACTCATCCAATCATATTGATCTGTATGGCAAAGTTAAGCTCTGATTTTTTTTTTTTTTTTTTTTTTTTTTATTATGATGGACGTTGATGCACTACGAGCAGTACAAACAAGTGGCCCAACGATACCAAGCACGTGCTTGTTACGCGCGGGACCCTTTATTAATTAGGGCAAAAATGCGAGTTCGCGAGGAAAAGACATGAAACCAAATACTACAAATACTACAACTAAGATTGAAGCAAATGAGATAAAATTTTAGTTTTTAATACGGGGATAGATGTTGAAGTGCAAATTAAATGATAAAGATTGTTATAATTTTTACATAGAACACGAAAAGGCTCATGCAGTGTAAAATTTGATGTACATCGAGGCAAATTAAGAGGGTAATAATTTCGTGTTAGTCTAACGGGAACATTAAAAGTTAAACGGTTTACCAGTTCTACGGAATCAATATCACCTTTTATAAGATTTTGCATAAAAATAGTACCAAGCATTATTCTACGGTTTTCAAGTGTAGGTAAATTAAGCAATAGTAATCTACTCTGGTAGGAAGGTAGCCTTACGTTTTGATCCCAGTTCAAACTACGAAGGGCAAAAAGAAGAAATTTTTTTTGCACCGACTCAATACGGTCGATGTGCACTTGATATTGTGGACTCCAAACTGAAGAACAATATTCCAAAATGGGACGGACAAGGGAGGTAAATAATAATCTGGTTGTATAAGGGTCATCAAATTCCCTTGACCAACGCTTTACAAACCCAAAAACACTCATAGCTTTATTGACAGTGGCCATTATGTGGCAATCAAATTTAAGTTTTGGGTCGAGAAGAACACCTAAATCGTTAATTGAATATGGGCACTTCCAAAATGTCGCTCGGGACATTTGCACACCTTTAAAGTTGAAAAAAAATTGTAAAAAAATGGATTTTAATTTTAATTATGGGCTTTTCTTTTCACTCTTCCCAAGCTCTATTTTTTGTAAAAATCTTGATTTTGTACCACTTTTAGTTTTTAAGATATCGTTAAAAAACTGCCGTATTCGCTCGGGACAAAAATAGAAGTGGATTTCGGGGAAGTTCATACAACACCAGAAATTAGCGAATCCTGATGGAATATTTGAATGCGATTTTTTTAGAATGTTGTTCAAACATGTCGCTGTGAAATGCTTTTCGTTTTTCTCAAAAATTCTTTGCCGTTGTTTTTTTTATGCAGTTTCAACCACATTCGCTCGGGACATGTCGCTCGGGACATTTTTTCTTAGCGTTTTGTAAAGTGTATTTCTTTACCTCTATCCCTCAATTACTGGCTGTTTTGCTTTTAACTTAATAGTTTAACATTTAAGTGAAGCATTCAGTACAGAAAAATGTCACATATTAGCATTCCTAAAGGATAAATTCACATCTGAAGACGGGTCCAAAAAATAACAATAAAATAGCCAAAAACTGATTTTTGCGTATATTATTGGGGCTTGTCATAAAAATAATTAAGCTATACTCCAAATTTTTAGCTTAGCTCAGGATCCAACTAATTAGAAACTAATATGGCAGCAAAATCATGTGGAAATATGTTTTTTTCAAGTTTCAAGTTTTTTGGCTTGGTGGACCTTTTGGTGGAAGTGCCCATATATACGGTCGAGTGGTGTATTTTTAAGAGAATAACTAACAAACGTAGGAGTGCCCCTATAAAAAGTCATAACGTTGCATTTAAGGCAGTTCAGATTTAAAAGGTTGTACTCACACCATCCCTGAAAACAATCAATATCTGACTGTAAGTTGAAACCGGACCCTACATCTTTATATGATAGACAAAGCTTAACATCGTCAGCGTACATTAGTACACGAGAATGAGCTACGATAGAGGGAAGATCGTTAATAAACAAAGTAAACAGCAAAGGGCCTAAATGACTACCTTGAGGAACTCCAGATGTCACGTTGATCATTTTAGAAACAGCGCTCTTAAATATAACCCTCTGAGTCCTACCATTCAAGTAACTTGAAATCCAAGTTAATAGATTACATGGAAACCCAAGCTGATCTAATTTGAATAAAAGGAGAGAGTGGTTAACAGAGTCAAAGGCCTTACTAAAATCTGTATATATAACGTCAGTCTGCATGTTATTCTTATATCCATTTATTACAATAGATGATAGTTCAAGAAGGTTGGTGGTGGTCGATCTTCGCTTAACAAAACCATGCTGACACGGTGATATTAGCGAGGAACATAAATGCTGCAAATGAGAAGTAATAATACATTCAAATGCTTTAGGAATTGCCGACAATTTAGAAATGCCTCTATAATTCTGGGCATCCGCCTTCGCACCCTTTTTGTGGAGTGGAATAATGAAAGAGTCCTTCCAGATAGTTGGAAAAACTGATGATGAAATAGACAAATGAAAAAGTTTAAGAATCGGTTTACAAATGGTTGAAGCACAAAACTTAAGCACACTCCCAGGGAGTCCATCAGGACCGGGAGAATACGTTGGCGTTGTTGTTGCTAAATCCTTTAAAAGAGAACTTTCGGTAATTACAGGGGTAAAAATACAATTAGCCCTATTTAAGTGGTTAGGGTAGGTAGGGTTTGACCAAGCAGCCGAACTATAAGTAGTTTGGAAAAACTCG